AGAATATCAAGGTAAGCATGATATAGAATTTCTGAGCTTTGGGAATTTTATGGAATACAAACTATCTTTCTCCTAATAGTCCCAACCTTCATCTCCAAGTACATTTAGTAAATCTATCTCCAGCTCCAAATATTTGTTTTAGACATAATTAATGCGATTTGAAAGTGCAAAATTCCATAATTTAATAAAAGCCATTCTTAGTTTTTCAATTGTAATTTTATGTTTACCTTTAATGTTTAACGAATTTATGCCTTTGTAAAATATTTGTAATTAAACTTTTGTAGAAACCGATTTAAGAGAAATATCTACCACTAATCATATACCTAATCATCTAATCCTGGAATTCTTAAAAGTTCATATGCACTTAGTTTTGTATTAGCTTCATTAATGTATCATTTGGTCCCACAACGCCATCGTTATGTGTAATTATAATGTACATATTTCATTATAGGTTCTTAGAATTTTTTCCATAAAAAACAAAGATGCATTTCTTTTTTCATTGTATGTTGCTCTTGTGTAGTTGATTAAAGGTCATATGATGGATGGCCACTATGTCAGTCTATACTAAACATGAGCATTTTATATATCCATTATATGAGTGTGCACTCATGCATTCTTTTTAGTGTCCGTGTATGAGAGAGAGAGAGTGTAAATCCATGTTTTCCTTGATTTCTATAGGGAAAAAGTTAATATTGTTATGCAGTAGGATGACAATAAATAAGTCATGAAAAATTACAAAACAGAGAAAATTACTTGAATCCCATTACCTCAGTCCATTTTAGAAGAAGCAACATACACGATGGATATCTTATAATAATTGCAATTGGTTACAAAATTTTCCAATGTATTTATGAGTTATTAGCTTTTTTTTTTTTAGATAATTCAGTGGGGAAGACAAGCCCCTACCCATTTTTCAATAGATTGGAGAGTTACATTTGGAAAGTATTAATTGGGGGTGTCAGCAGTAGAAATTGATACGACAATATGGTAACTTGGTGTTAGCTTTCTATATACTTTATGTGTGTGTCATCTCTAAAAGAGGAAGAGTGAAAGAAAATCCTTGGAAGAAATTTTACTCACTTTATAGTCTCAGTGATCTAGGTAACAATGATCCAAACGTACCATATTGAAATATCAAAATGGAATAAAGTATTGAATGAGAAATACATAAAAGTCATTCTTTCTGCATAAAAGTTTTGGAGAGAAAGAGTATTGTTCTTACATAAGAAATTGCTGATCCTCTCTACCACATTAATTGATGAAAACAAATGTTTCTACCAAGTAATTTGTGAATGCTCTCTTTGTTTGTGTAATAACACTGTAATCCTCGACAATATCTGAACCCTCATAGAAACAAATTGAATCTAAGACAATTAGCTAAATTTTATACTTCAACTAGATATTTTTATGTTTATTTCATGGACCATGAGAATAAAAAGTAAATTGTTAATATGATTATCAATCTAACTAGTTCAGTCATAAAAAATATTCCATAATGGAAGTCATGGCAACGGAAATTATACTTGTACATTACAATAGCCACTTAATAAGCAAAAGTGTCAATTGTTTAATTTCTAAAACAATCTTAAATAGTCATCTATGCTTATTTAGCCAAGATCTTATTGTGATCTAAATGTTGAAGATGATTTTCCACCAAAATGCATAAAACAACACATATATAAGTGTGCAAGTCAGTATAATGCCAATATGTATATATGTGTGTGGAATGCATACATACATAAACACATACATGCATACCTATATATACATACACATATATACACATACACATTACACACACACCCCCACATACACATTTCCTTATACTTCATGAGCGTCTATGTTTCTAATTTCTGGCACACCAATCCTAAACAAGTGTGCAAGGGATTCCCAGAAAACTATACTAAATTAACAGAAAATGGTATCAATATTAATAGAAACCATGACCAAAATATATTAGAAACTTGTATCTATAAATCTAAAAATTATATCTAACAAACCATACTTAAAAATCATGCCCTTTCTATGGTCAACTGAAAGGCATATAAACCTTTATATTGAAAGCCAATTGCAAGTAATATTGTTCATATATACAATGCAAGTTTTTATCAATTAGTCATAGATTTCCTTTTTATAAACATACCAATACAAATATACCTCTTCTATAGAAACTCATATCATTCGTTCTAAAATCCATAGCATTATCATTTTTGTAAACATATACTCCAAAAAGTTTCAATCGTGTTACTAGCTCTCTAATACCTTGTATCAATCCCTAGCAATTATGGTCTGCTTCACACAAAGATGTAACGATATTTGTTTATGTATGTGTTATATATATACTTGCTCTCCTCCTTTGGAGATAATTTGAAGCAACCTAATTTTCTACTAAGTGGTAAATAAAACAACAATAGAACTTAACTACCTATAAGAAATGAAGAAATCATTGAATGTATGAAATGTTACTAGAATGCTATATTGTATGAATAGAAGTATGTTATGATTGAAACCTTAAATGGTTTTGGAAACATGTCCTTTTTCCTCTGGAAAGGGATGTACTCAGGAACCTGATAAAAGAGAAAGTGACAACTCTCTTCCACTGGAGATAATATGAAGCAACTTGCTTTTATTAAGTGGTAAATAAAAATAACACCATGAATTAACTACCCATGAGAAATGAAGAAAATATTGAACATATGAAATGTTACTAGAATACTATGATGTGTGAACAAAAGTTTGCTATGATTGAAACTTTCCTCTAGAAATGGATCCAGATAATACTCAGTACCCTGATAAAGTAGCAAGTGAGAACTCTCTTCCATTGGAGATAATATGAAGTAACCTGCTTTTTTAAGTGGTGAATAAAAATAACAATATGAATTAATTACCCATTAGAAATGAAGAAAACATTGAATGCATGAAATGTTACTAAAATGTTATGTTGTGTGAACATAAGTTTGTTATGATTGAAGCTTTCCTCTAGAAAGGGATCCACATACTCACTACTGATAATAGAGAAAGTGATAGCTCTCCTCTACTGGAGATAATATGAAGCAACCTGCTTTATTAAGTGGCGAGTAAAAAAAAACAATATGATTTAACTACTCATGAAAAATGAAAAAATCATTGAATCCATGAAATGTTACTAGAATACTATGATGCGTGATCCAATGTTTGCTATGATTGAAAATTTTCTCTAGAAAGGGATCCATATACTCACTATCCCGATAAAAGAGAAGGTGACAACTCTCCTCTACTTGAGATAATTTGAAGTAACCTAATTTTCTACCAAGTGGTGAATAAGAAAAAACAATATGTCTTAACTACCGATGAGAAATGAAGAAAATATTGAATGTATGAAATATTACTAGAGTACTATGTTGTGTGAACAGAAGTTTGCTATGATTGAAACCTTAAATGATCTTGAAAAGATGTGTTTTTTCTTCTAGAAAAGGATCTATATATTCACTAAAAGAGAAAGTATCATAAGCAAAAAAAATGAAACTTGATAATGCTTTGTGGATGTTGCCTGAAGTAAAAATTGTCCAATAGTAACTTGCTGCAATTTTCTAAGTATTAGAAACATATATACGCACATTGAATAATACCTAGTATGAAATGAAAATTAAAAGTGGATAAACAGGTATTCATTCCCTTGATAAATAAAGTATCCCAAAAATCAAATGGAGATTACTAATTCTTGTAACTTTGGATATTTATTAAAATATTTTAATAAAAACATGCATTATCACTTAATTTCCTAAAGATATTGCATCGACCGACTATCTTATATTATATGTTCAAAACATAATTTTGTAGAAGGTAGTTATGATGGCCATTATCTAAATAAATAGGGCACAATATTTCAAACAAGAGAAAGAAACTTGCTAACCAATGTTGATTATGAATCACTTGTTTTCATATAATCATGTATGTATACCTTAATTTGCTAAACCTATTATGGAGGTTGACTAGGATAGAGCAATACTAATTCATCTGATAAGCATAGTGGCATAATGTTTTCCTAAAAAAAAGAAATATTTATCAAAATACTCATAAGAGATGAACTATTCAGAATTTTTACCATCTGCAAGTATTCCAAATCAAGAACATTTGTGTTTTTATGGGTATTTTGATATTAAATTAAAAGATATGGGTAAGATAATAAGTTGTTCATCTCTTGCAGATATTTTGATAAATTTCCCCCTAAAAGAAGAAACAATAAATAAAATAAAAGCACATGTTGAATGATAGATATACCCCATATTACTTTAAAAGTATTAAGCTCTTCACATCTTGTTAAACATTAGAATTGAGACAAAACATAAATTGTGCTTGTTCCTATCAAACGTCAAATAAAATAAACAAATGAGTTGGAGCAATCAACAAATATTGAAAACCTCTTCTCAGTAGCAATCAACAAAGATAGAAAAATATATATAATAGATATCAATTCAATAATGCAGACACTAAAATAACCTAGGGTTTTCAACAAAGGAAACCCATTTGCCCAATCCTTCTTTAGATTTCATTGAAGTGCAATTATATGAAAAGCTAAGGTACAACAGCAAATTCATTTCTATCATATGCAAAACATTAACTACCGAATCCCAAATAAAATCATGTCTAATATGGATAAAACTTCCAAAAGCATGGCCCTCCCAAGGAAATTAAGAAATAAAGTGGTAAGAATGATATGAGATCTAATGTATGAAAGCATTACGAGTGCTTGTCATAATCTTCAATCACATAGGTTGAAGAGCATTTTGGGGGGTAAATTGTAACAGCTGAACCAAATTAGTAATGACAAACATTTCATCAAGATGATCACATGTTAAAGCTCCAGTTAAAGATCTTTCTAGAAATGTATGAGACCCAGAATATGTCAGGAAATATAACATACAGAAGTGAGAAATGCATCAAAAAATAATTAGTAATGTATAACATGAGCCACAAATTAGCCTCCATTCAAATCTTTTTAGAAATTGAAAAGACCCATAATATGTTAGCAAATGTAACATACAAAAGCAAGAAATGAATGGAAACTGTGTACATGTTCAAACAAGAGCAATACACCCAAACCCTAATTTTCACAATTAAGTGGTCTTAAATGTGCCACTAAAACGGTATAGAGAGTTGGTTACTCTTACCATTGTTTCCACTACTACTATTTCTATGATTTACATTGAAATTGAAGGGATTATCATTTTTGAAGCTAGAGGCACTCTCCTTAACATCAATTTGGCCATTTTTACCGGGGTTTTGGGAGGATGAGGCCTTCTCTCCTTCAGTCTCTCTATATTTATGCAGATATTTTCTCAATGGCTCAACATAGTCATCAAACCCAAGTGTTTGTAGTGCCCAACATAGATCATCACCATTGATAGTCTTGCGCTTCTCCTTATGACACTTATCTGAGGCCTCACCTGTGACAAAGCTGATGAACTCTGATACACACTCTTGCATGGTTTCCTTGGCCTCCTTCGAGATCTTAGCATTCGGAGGAAGTATCTGCTTCATGATTCGGCCGACGTTGGCTATAGGGAGGAGCCGGTCTTGCTCCCTTATGGAACCCTCACTTGGGCTTGTGGCGGTCACAGTTGCACCCCCAGTGGCGGTGGTAGTGGTGTTGGTAGGCCTACCGTTGCCTTCGGAGTCAGGACTGCTCGTCCTCCCTCCGATGGTCACTACCATTCTTTTTCCCTCTCTCAATAGAAACACAAATACAATCTCTCCCTCCAACCGTCTCTCTCTTTGTAGAAACACAGTCTCTCTTTTTCTCTCAAGTCAAACACAATACAAATCTCTCTCTTCTCTCTTCTCTCTTCTCTCTTTCTATCTCTCTCAAGCAAGAGACTTGATGCTATGGAACTTGTACACGTTGTTATCTTGGACTTTAGTTGCTCTAAGAGAAGAGATAGATATATATGGAGGTTCATGTGTATGCATGTTGATGTGCCTATGTGATTGTCTTTTGCTTTCGTGGTAAAGAAAGAGAGAGAGGTAAAGTTGAGGAGGGAGAAAGGTAAGGGGCAAAGAAACAGACAAGGCTTGGCTTGTTAATAGAAGTGCATTGATATGGATTAAGAAAGTTAGTCTTGGTGCATGGTCACACACACACTAGGTGGGTCAGCATGTGCATATGGCCAGGGGTGTGACCTAGCTTGGTGCGTTGGCATCAAGCTTTCTTAGTGGAATACACATGGGACCGGCCCCTAAGTCCTATGCCTTCATTGGTAGATGGTGTCCCATAAGAGCTGACCGTAAACGAATCGGGTCCGGGTTGGGTTGACCTTGATATGAACCAAACAGACCCGACCCGACCTGAACCAGACACACCCGACCTGGACCAGATGGACCAAAATCGGCTGGGTCTAGGGTCGACCTGTCAAGGTTGTTTGGACCTGACAACTCCAATAGGGGGGTCCGGACCCAAGTTTGGTCTGGTCGACTAGCTGACTTGACAGTTTGACCAAAGCTATTTATTACCAATCTCTCTCTGCATGCGACCACAGGCTCGACCAGGGCCATTTATCACCTCTCCCTCTCTCTCTTGCCTGCCATATAAGAATTTATCTTGCATATATGTGCATGAGTGTATTCAACTTTTGTAGACACAAGCCACCTTGTGAGGAGAGACATGGTATTATCACTAACCTAGAAGGACTACGCAAAAGCAGTGGTCCCCCATGGAGCCACACGCCTTCTCAAGTCCCAAAACGACACTTGCCCCATGAGATGTCATGGGCTAGGGTTGATACATTTTGTTTGTTAAGGCCCAAACTAAAACCTCAGGAGGGGGCAGGGCGTCAACTGGTGCCCTTAAACCTAGCAACGATCTCTAGATTGTGTAACCCTTTCTCACCTTTAACCCCATCGAACCCTAGAGAGAGGAACCATTGCTTGCCCTAGCGACCCTAGCCCTAGGGCTCACTCATACCTCGTCAAAATGGTCCCCCCCCCTCCGCTCCTTTGTTTCATGCAAAAAGTCTTCAAGACAAAAGAAGAGCGTATTTTATGCTCTTGCGGCAACACATATTGTACATATACTCCCTCGGTAGACTTACTTGGGAGGATTTTTTAACCCTAAAATTTTTGTAACAACCTAAGAATTCTGTTCAAAAGAAAGATTTTGAAGTTTTAGTTTTCTAAAGCCAAATTGACTTCAAAAAGTTGATAGCCTTTGTTCAATCTTGAGACAATTTTTCTTTTTCCAAGTTCAAAGAGAGGGCAATTAGTAAATTTTTATTAATATTATTTTATGGGTTGAAGAGTTTACAACCTTTAAATTTGAGGTCCTAGAATTAATCCTTATCAACTATGGAAGTAAATAGACAGTATACTCCTGCAGGATCATGAAATCTTCTAGCTGGACAAAATATCTTTCGGTGAGCATCTGATGTAGATTGTAATCCATTATCCATAGTCTTTTCATGGTTTGTAGATTATGCACGTACGCATGTAGGGTTGCGAGCCCCTCCAAAGAAGGTCGACCACTAACCCTAATTTCAAATATAATATAAACCCTAACCCTAATCGCACTAAGTCTAAACCTTATTTTATCTTGGGCTCCCGATACAACTATGCAGTATCCAACTAACATGGGATGCTTTGCTCACATGAGTGTAATAATTAAATTAAAAAATATGTTTGCAACAGGTGTCGAAATATTACGGCCTTCGATGACGTCGGAATCGTGTGGCTCAGTGATTGGCTTGTCAATATTACCTAGATGGGGATTGGTGAAATTAGTATATTTGGCAATCTTACTAAAGATTTCTATTCAAGAATTTAATAAAATTTTAATGGTTTTGTGAGCAGGCATGGATGCCTTTGACAAGTTTATGAGTATATTTGTTTTCCCCCACTTGTGGGGATGCTCTAAGGAGCTTAGATTAATCTCATATTATCTTGAAATAAGCTCATGGTTTCTCATAAAGTTGTCAAACATCACTTTATGCTATGCTAAAACTATGGAATAATAATAAAAATAGTAATATATTCCTTGTGAGAAAAGGAGTGCAATGGTGTCTTGACAAGTGTGCGGATGAGATGCGTGCTCTACTAAAAGAGCAAGGGCCCCCTCTCCCTCTTGGGACAAGGGCTCAAGCTAACCCATGACCCATCTTGTGGTCCACTTGACTCTCCTTAATGAGGGTCAACAAACCAACCTCCCATTCCTCAAAAACAATTTAAATCCTCCCTCTCGCTCATTTTTATTTCGGGTGAGGTTTGTATAAGGTGTCAACCTTATACTATTGAAGTAAGGTGCACCTCAAAACTACGCCGAAAATACAATTTGAGTGCCGCAAAACCTTGCAATGATATAAAAAATCTAATGTTGTCCCCAACTACAAAAATTAAAGTTCCAAAAATGGTGACGATCAAGTAGATCTATAATTCCTTGAAAATTGATGGTCTAGATAATGTGTTAGAAGACGAACTAGTTTTAAGACTAGAAATGCCCCTTTTTTTTTCATGTCTATGAATCACAAGGTCAAGATGGTATATTTGAGGGTTTTTCAGCATGAGAAAGACCTTCTCTAGTGGGCTTTTAGATGCACTGTACTCATACAATATAAGGTTGACACCTTATATAAACTTTTTTTTTTAATTTTAGTAAGTTTTGGACATTTTAACAAGGTAATTTTTTAAAAAAAACTGACTTTTCAAGCGCGACATTTCCAAAATTCATTTAGCTTTGGGAGGAGGGACGATTTCATATCACCTTTTATTCTATTTATTTATTTATTATGAAAATTCAAGAAGAAAGGTTAAGTTGAATTGTTTACATTTTCAAGCATATTGTTATATCTTTGGTGGGTGGACATGTGACAAAAACTATCAACATTTTCAAGCATCAAAGATACTTAGAATATATATTTATGTGTATATGAGCATGTTTGCATGTGTATGGTGTAGAAATGCCTTTACATATGGGAATACTGGCCAAATTCATGCATGAGTTGAATTGGATCCTATAGATTTAGTTAGTTGATAAAGGTAATTAAGTGGTCGAACCACTTGTTTCATGAAAAGGACTAGCAAATTCAAGAGACCCAATTTGTCTCCCAAATAAATCCTTTCCTCCTATCTATTTTTGCTTTAATCTCATAGTTTGTCTCTCTAACTATCATGAGAGGCTCAATCTACACCATGAGGAGGTGGTCTCTTGCATCACAAGTGACTTATGCAAATTTTCTTGCATGGCTCTAGAAGCTTTACTCTTTTATTGCCCCACCTAATTGTGGAAATTATTGGTGCTTTTGAAAAAAAGGAGACCAACCTAAAATTCATTCATGGAAAACCCTAGTTTACTTGGTTTGGAATACTTCCTTTTCTTTGGCAATCTATTGAAGGTGATAGTGCATACTTTTCTCTTCAACAACAATAAACTAAAAGCCTATAAAATGTTTTTGTCATCACTAAAGACCGGCAGAATGAGGCCTTTGTACCTTAGCTGACTTGGTTAACTGCCTTACCTTACCCAGACTAAGGATCCTTAATCATAAATTAAGCATTTTCAGATGGTGGTCTGGTACATGTCTAGTGTGTGGAATGTTTTTATTTGGGAACATCCATACCCCAAGTGAAAAAAAAAATGTAGAGAGAGAGAGAATGTGTCCAATGAAATATATATATATATAGAGAGAGAGGGAGGATATGTGTCCCATGCCTATTCCATGGGACAAAAAATAGAGGAAATCCCTAACTTTTTCATTATATATACTTGAATCTCTTTAGTTCAAAGAGGAAATATATTCGTCAATTTAATCATTGCTTAATGTGATAGTTGATTTAGTTTCTTGTATTAGAAAGTGTATTTTCTACATTGACTATAAAAGGAAACATACTGATGCATACTCCCTTTTTAAGCTGGGGGCCTTAAATGTCCTATATGACTAATATAAATTAAATGCAAAGGAGGGAGCACTAATCAATTTGGATATAATAACCCTGTTTGTTACTGGCACGTGCATTGCATGATGCTCATGCTTAGAGTTTACATAGAAAAATTTTTTAATATTGAATTTAATATTAATTGTATTTGTTTGGTTTAATTTATTGTGTATTTTTTTACTTTTTGTTTTGGGTAATTAAAAAAAAATTTGATAAAATCAGTGGGGATTTGGGGCCCTATCCTGTGGTGAAAATGGAATCAGAGACCTCATTAAGAGGATCGGCAATACTACCACCAAGGTCTCGGCCTATCGTCCCAAGCCATTCTGATTTTTTTTACATTTTTATTGTACATTTTTTAAGATTAGATTATTGTATATTATTTTTAGCAGAAAAATTATACGATTCTTGGATATGTGTTCACTGAGGTAGAAACCTTATTTAGCACAATTTTAGGATCTCAAGTTTCAGGAATCTAAGTACCTCGACAAATAACCAAAAAGAAAGATCTATATGCATTTTCTGTGCCGAACATAGCCACTCCATGTATTTAGAAACTCACAATTCTTTTTTTTTCTTCTTTATTTTGAAAATACAGATTTGGTGATTCTAAAATAGATATCAGACTATTGTATTAAAAGAAAAACTCCTAAGTACCACATGAGGATGCTATATAGGCTCTTACTTTTATAGCCATTTAATTTTCCATCTAACCCTTTTTTTTGTTGGCGGTTTGTATTTTGGAATAAGCTGAATACCATCATTGAAATTTCTATTTTCAATTTTTGGTTGGCATAATCGGTGTATGAAATATTTTCGTAAATTTTTTATTAAGATTATTTTTAAATCAAAATTTTGACAAAACATCAAAAAGATTTCAAAGGGGAGATTGATAAATTTCTAGCTATACGACCCATTTAAGCCCACTCATTCGAGGCAGACCCTAACCTCCCTTGAAATCCCATGACCTGG